GATCCTCTCCACAGCCATGTATGTGGAGTTCCACCGTGTTTGATTTGGCCGTATGAACTGGAGGTTGCATTCTTCCTCCACAGTTTCTGCAGCCATGTGTGACTGACCTGTTTTGTTCCACAGTCCTTGACATTTCCCAAAGGCTGCACGTGATAGCCGTTTGTACGTATCATTCTGTTCTTCTGCCTTGGCAGCATCTGTTGTGGCGATTAAGTTTAACAGGTGACACGCGCACCTTTGATGAGGAGGCAGTTGGTATTCAAGGCTGTTGTTTTCTTCCAGGATGTTGAATGTGTATTGATGGGTGACTTTGGGCTCTTCTTCAGAAGAGTCTGACTCGGCTTCCGAGGACAGGCTCTGCTCCCCAAACACGCTGTCTGTTGTGGTTCTTACAACTTTTCCCCTTAAACCGTACTGACAGTGAACGTCATCAAGGGCACCTGCTAGCACATCGAACGTGTGGGACCCCCTCAACCTCTAGCAAGTGCAGCGGATCTTCTCTCAAAGGTTTCCTCATCTATCCAGGTGATCCCTATGAAACTTCTCTGGTGTGCTGTCCAACAATCGGTGGTACTTGGGAAATAAGTGACTCCACTGAGGCGTGACACCACAGCCTTCTTCATTTGAGTGGAAGCTGCCTGTATTCTGGCCGGAGAGTGGGTCTGGAAATGATCTTGCATTGAGGATTCAGTGTTGATACAAGTTCTTTAAAAGCAGGTTGTTCAACCACAGCAAATGGATGAAGGCCTTCATAATAGAGTTAATCAGAACCTTGTCAACTTTTGCTTGCGGCACATGTTTGGTTCCACCCACTGCCACCAAGTCAGATATTTTGCTTGCTTGCTTGGGGTTTTTTCTGGTTCCAGGGTCCACTTCCGTGCTGCCACGAAGTCAGTGTAGACTTTCATCTTTGATGGATGATTCCTCTGTGAACAAAAAACAAACAAACATCATCATATAAATCTATACTATGTTTTCATTAAACATACGGTTAAAATATTCTTTATACTAATAGATGAATTCATATTTTTCAAAGTTTCATTTAGAAAGAGTAGACTATATCATGGATGGGTCACTGGCAGACTTTAAGTGTGGTCCCAGATCACCTGGTTTTATCCTGCATATAAGATTACTGAATGAAAAACATTCACCAATATATCAATCAATCAATCTTTATTTACATAGCGCCAAATCACAACAACAGTCATCGCAAGGCACTTTACGCGTAGAGCAGGATTAGACCATACTCTTTGATTTAATTTTAAAGAGACCCACTATTAGAACAACACTAGAAGATTTTTTATTTGCCAAAACTTAATAGCTTTTTGGTGCATTTTTCAATGTGTTATAATACACTCATAAGCAATTTACAATGCATATCATAGCAATGTTAGTGTTATAAATTCCCTTAAGAATCTGCAAATGTAGGTTAATAATATGTTAATTTGTCAGATACAATTTAATTTATGTATTGACTATTTTAGTCAGGCATCCTTTAGTCAGCCCGTTATTTTGGGTCAGGCTGTTTAAGGGATAGCTTTGTTTAAGTTTTTTGGAGTCTTCAGAGCCTGTAATGTCTGTACTTACCTGGCTGTTGAAAGGTTTATATAAAAGAAGTGAAACGTCAACGGTTTCCTCTTATTCTCTGACCGGAATATGCACACGGGTGAAGAGTTCTCAGCACAGTAGTTTCACACACACTGAGAGTTATTGAATAGTTAGCATAATTTTGGAATTTGTCAAATTTGATTGTTTAAAATGAGGCTTACTAGCTTACTACCAAGTTAGCTAACTTTAACTACCACTATACAGCTGGCTGCTAACACTGACATTAGCATACCATGATTGAGTATTAAGTATTAATTGCATGGATCAATGATTAATTGCATTTAACGTTATTTAGCTTCACGTGAGATTATTTTACCTGTACATGCTTGCGCAGGTTGGAAGCAGAGTTTTTGTAGGTGGATAGCTGGGTCTCTTTCGGCGTACAAAGTTTACATTGCATGATGAAATTGTCATTTGCGGACTTGAACTCAAATAAGTCTTCTAAGTATGGCCAGGGATTAGCCTCACGTTCTCCGTGCGTGTCTCTGTGTTCCAAATTCGATCCTGCTCCATAAGTACAGGTGTCTCCATCGACACACTCCAGTCTCCATAATCTTTTAGCTCCTCTATGGCACCAACGTTTTTTTTTTTTTGTCTGTAACGGAAGCTATTTCAAATGTAGTGAAGTAAATTACTTCCAACAATATGAACTTAAGTAAAAGTTAAATAACTGATTTTAAAAATTACTCCAAAAAGTACAAGTAAACAAAAAAACTACTCAATTACAGTAATGAGAGTAAATGAAACTCGTTACTTTCCACCCCTGGGTGTTGGTGCCAGGTTGAAGAAAGTAGTTAGATGCATGCAGAGAAAATAAACAGCACAATAGAACTAACATTAGCTTTCAAATAACATATTACTAAATATCACAACAACACAAGTCAAACTTATAAACATCACATGAAATAGAAATAGAATTAAACAGTCCTTTGCTTAGCCTGGAGTAATAATAAAGCCCAGTTGTGTTAACCGTCCATGAAAAAGAGGGAAAGGTCCTTTTTGGATGTGCTCTTTGAAGTCCAGTGAAGTGGTCTTGTTGGTTTGTGGCTCCTGTTGTGCATCTGCTGGTCAGACCTTGTGTTGTGGCCAGTTGTGCTGAAGTTCTTAGGCAGGCTCTCGCATCGCTGCCTTTGGAAGGTTTTAGCAGCCTGCTCAAGGCAGAACTGCTTGAAGTTGAAGAGCTTGGGTAGGGAGGAAGTCTCTCTGGCTGCGAGAGCAGGAGCAGTACCTACTCCTCCAGGAGCGATCAGCAGGAAAAGAGATAGAGGAGAGGAGAAACTCTGCTTTTATTGGCCTCGTGACCTCATGGGCACACATTGACCAATAGTGGTTGAGAGTGGTCTCCAGGAGCAGTTTTACCACCTATGTTTGTACATGAAGCAGCCTGGGAGACTGAGTTCTGGAAGCTCTCCTTTGTCTTCAGAGCAAAGGAGACGTGGTCAGGCTTTTGGCTACATGTGTAGGCCCAACTATGGTTCACAAATACCAGGTCCTAACATAGCCATCAGAAGATGGGTACACTGTGGTCATAAAAGGATGGACATGGTCAGCAACAATACTCAGGTAGGCCGTGACGTTTAAACGATGCTCAATTGGTACTAAGGCACCCAAAGTGTGGCAAGAAAATATCCCCCACACCATTACACCACCAGCCTGAACCTTTGATACAAGGCAGGATGGACTCATGCTTTCATGTTGTTTACGCCAAATTCTGACCCTACCATCTGAATGTCGCAGCTGAAATCAAGACTCATCAGACCAGGCGACGTTTTTCTAATCTTCTATTGTCCAATTGTCATGAGCCTGTGCGAATTGTAGATTCAGTTTCCTGTTCCCGGAGCTGACAGGAGTGGCACCCAGTGTGGTGTTCTGCTGCTGTACACCATCTGCTCCAAGTTTTGACGTGTTGTGTGTTCAGAGATGGTATTCTGCATACCTTGGAGTGGTTATTTATTACTGTCTGCCTTTCTATCATCTTGAACCACTCTGCCCATTCTCCTTCGACCTCTGACATCAACAAGGCATTTTCATCCACATAACTGGCAGTTATATTTTCTTTTTTTCGGATCATTCTCTATAAAGCCTAGAGATGGTTGTGTGTGAAATTCCCAGTTGATCAGCAGTTTTTGAAATACTCAGACCAGCCCGTCTCGCACCAACAGCCATGCCATGTTCAAAGTCACTCAAATCCCCTTTCTTCCCCCATTCTGATGCTCAGTTTGAACTGCTCAGCCTAAATGCATTGAGTTGCTGCCATGTGATTGGCTGACTAGCCTTTTTGTGTTAACAAGCAATTGAACAGGTGTGCCTAATAAAGTGGCCAGTGAGTGTATACTGTGACTCCGTTTAACCCTGTTGGTACCATTGACGTAAAACAAGGGTCTCTGACAACATTACCTATTGAAGGTGGGCAGAAAACTTAACTATTAAATTTAGTATAGTAAAAACCTTTATATGTATTTATTTGGAATCCTAACATTAGTACAAACAGTTAACTTGTTTACTTTTACAATATGATTTATTATTCTTTCAGTGTAAACATAAAACAACAAAAACAGAATAGGAACATGGGCTGTTTTCCATTTGGGAAAAAACCATAGGAAAACAATAATAGTAAGGAATTAATTAAATTAATTATATCACACCATTCCTTTATAGGTGAAGCCATTTCTTAGTGATTGTTTTTCTAGGAGCTACACTAAGTATAGTACTTTAATGCTTCTAGATGACAAGTGTAAAAGCCCAGCGAGTTTGTCAAAGTTTGACCAAAATATGGTACATAAAATCTGTATAAGGGGGTGGCTTTCCCTCAAACTGATCTTAAGATATCAGATTTAGACATTTTATGTGAGGCCACTGTGACCTTTGGCTACCAAAATCAAATTAGTTCATTCCTTAGTCCAAGTGAATGTTTGTGCCAAATGTGAAAGAATTTCCTTGACAGCATTACGACAGAGAGATCACCTTCACAAGGGAAGAAATGTGCCTTGTGAACTCACAGTGAAAATAACTTCCAAGTGAATATTTCTACCAAATTAGAAGAAATTCCCACAAGGAATTCTTGAGATATCGCAATCACGAGAATGGTGGCTGATTTTCGCACCCCTATTTGCATTAAAACGATGACACAAGGGACCATTGTCACTTAGACTCAAGTAAACCGGCTGAAGTGACTTTGCTCAGTGCATTAAGATTCAAACCCACTCATTGCCGCTTGGGGCTATATTCTACATTCACATTTGTGAGTCTGTCGTTAAATTGGGCAATCTTTTAATCCTTAATTTCAGGAACTTGGACTATTTTGGATGAATTAATTCATCAAATCTGTTCAGAAATCTTTGGTTTCATGCAATACTGTCAAAACAGTCAAAACAAATGAAATCAAAGAATTATTTGATACACACATTTATTCTTTAAAAAGGTGAAATGAAAAACAATGCACTTGCCCTCTTAACTATTCATTTTGATAAGATTTTACTGTTGTAATGTTCCTGTCCTCTTTCATATGAAAATTGTGTTTACATCTGAGACAAAAATCAGCTGAGCCCAAAGGCTTACTGCTCAAAGTTCCAGATGAAGCTTGTGTTCTCTGTAATAGTCTTACAGCAATGATCTGGCAGCAAGAGGGGTTTTGGCATTCTTCATCCAGAAATAAAAAATTATGTCAAAAGCAAAGACCATGTTCGTTCCCCTTAACTCTCTGAGGGAATATTCTTGGAAGTGACCTGACAACCAAGGATGATTTGAGGCCACATTTAACCTCCAAGGCGCTGTCCTTCACCCCAAGCAAACCCTCCTGGGCGCTCCTCAGGTAAGGGGTTGTAGTTGGCATCTTCCTCTGGAGTGTGAAACAACATCTTTCTGTTAAGGACACAGAACAGGAAAAAGACTGATTTCTATGTGGGATGGTTCTTATGGCAAACACCTCATAATGAGGGTTGTGACAGTATGGATGTCAAATAAAGACTACTGTGATTTGGCGTAAGCATGCAAGCGGTTTTTCTTTTGAATAATAATAATGTTTTTTCACACAGTTTCATGTCACATTCCCTGTCTCTGAAGATACACAATGCACTTGATTTAGCCAGCGTGAGTATACTGAACTTTACTGCTCCTCTAATAAATAAGCGTCCTGGCAGGGTTGCATACAGAGTACTACTAGCAGCCTGAAGCTGTGTGCTTTTGATTTATACGTGAAATAATGCAGAGCATCCAAACTTTTCAATTGCAAATGTCATTGATTCACCGCCATTATTATAGATATGAAATGGATATTATAGGTTTGTCACTTTTATAACTGGAAATAATATCAATGGTTTAATTAAGATATCAACAATGTTATTACAATGACATCTCCGGCAAAAGTTTTTGTCGCAGCTGTTGACATCGAGGACTACTGATAACATGTTGGGGTTTCACGACGACTACTGTTGATGTAACGAATTCTGCTGTCCCAATTAGTAGGGGAAGACTTTAACCACTACCCCTTTTAGCTCCGTTTCAAGCAAATATCAGCAACTAAACAGCTTTAACTATTCTCTTTGTTCCTACTTTCTCTGGTTCCATGAGAGAAGTAAACTCTACCGTGTGCTGCCAGGATTTACTACCCTAAAAAAGGAGAAGGCAGCACAGGTTTAAATAAGACTACCGTAAATGCATTAAACCCTTTAAAAGTGGTCAATTGTCACTATGTAAGCTAATTTCAGAATAATTATAAACTTTCACTGTTTACTCAAATTGATTGAGATAATGCTTAAACTCTATGTCTCGTGTCACCTCTTGTCAACCCACAGACAAGACAGGAGTGCCCATACATCAAGCATCATAACTGAACTTGTGCTGTGGTCGAGTGCACAACTGGTGTTGCAAAGGCCAGGTGTTCAGTGGCATTCATCATGTTTACGCAGATAAATAACACACTTTACTGACTACAAGCATTTGTTTGTACAACTTTAATAACTTTAATTCATAGCATGTAGAGACTTACATGATAGATGGGGTCTTGAGCCACCTTCCACCTCCAGGCTGGTTGGGGAAAACATCCTCTAGGAAGTAATAGACATGACCAACAGCAATGCCTGAAGATAGAAAAGAAAAATTAGGCAAGCACCAGTCTTACTGGACACCACCAACCACATCAGTTACTCTTAGCTAATAACAATCATTTTAGGGCTTAAAATGACAGTGAAAGATACCTAAAAGGTCCACGATGATGGAGTTGCCGAGCAGAAGTGAGAATCCCATTAGGACCCAGGGCAGAAAGGGTGCCTGGAAATTCAACAGGCCAAAGAAATTCATGCGCACATTTGGATTTCGTCGACTCCAAATGTATACTAGCATGATAGTGAAAGCTTGGCCTAGGAACACAAGACTTACAAAAGTACCAAATATCTGAAACTTTGTTAAAGAATATGAAAGAAATGTACACTGACACTACAACTATATATTTATATCACTTTTGCAGTTGAATCGACCACTCACCAACAGAGTTTTAATGGTGTGTGATAGAAATAAATTTCGGCATATAGCAGCACTGTATGAATATGTGCATGAACGGGTGACCGGAGACTGGCCATTTAAGGTTTAAAAAAAAAAAGTAAATCATAAAAGCAATTCTATAACTCACAGGTAACCAGTGAAGGGCAGCAAGGGTTGGTATAATGTGATTGCTTCTCTTTGTGCAAGTTTAAAGCCTTGTTTTACATGCACAGCCTGTACACAAGCTCTGGCCCAAGTCTACGCACGAACCACCCACCTTCTCATATACCTTATTTGCCTCCTGAGCCACAGCCGCCCCCCTGATAAGTGCAGCTATTAACAAATCCCTCAATCTTTCATAATAATGATTTATTTATTTAGCACTTTTCAATACAAGGGACAAACGTTTTACAACAAACATTATGAAACTAAAACATTCATAATAAAATAACAAATAAAGATAATAAAGATGCAGATAATAAAAGTAATGGACATGACATGATAATTTGTTATCCAGGTTTGTATGTGGATAAAAGACTAAACGTTGGCTATGTTTCTTAATTGATAGAACAATCGTCTTAAGGTTTTAGTAAAAGACAACACACAGATACCTGCCTGAGGACTTGGTAAATGGTGCTAGTTCACCAAGGTTAGTGTTAATTTCATTCATTCTGGAAGTGGGACCAAAGATAATTATATCCGATTTGGATAGGTTTAGTTGGAGAAAGTTGTTTGCTATCGGGTGAGGTAATTGTAGAGAGTTGCAAAGTTTGATTGATGATTAGGACTGATGAGAATATAGAGCTGTGTTTCATTAGCTTAGCAATGAAAATGAAAACTATATTTGCAGATGATGTTGCAAAGGGGAGCATAGAGATGGAAAATAGAGTGGGACTAAGGATTGAACCCTGGGAAACACCATACAGCATGTTTGATGGGGATGAGACTGAGCCTGTCATAGGTCCTACCTTTCCAACCAAAGTTTCTCAGTGACTGAGTCAGTTTCAGGGTATTTGGCTGATTCCTGCCCACATTTTCAGACCTTCAATGAGTATTTGGTGTTCTACAATATTGAAAGCAGTACTGAGGTCCAAAATAACTAGGATGGAGGATTTACAAGCATATTCATTCAAAAGAAGGCCATTCAGAATTCGCTGAGAGACTGGGGGCCAGTGGAGGTTCTGAAGGACAGGGGTGGTGTTGTCACAGGAGTGGACATGGGCGAGCAGAAAGGGCAGCAGAGTTCTGAATGGACTGAAGTTTATTGAGGACTAGAAAAAGGTGCCATAAAGAATGGTATTGCAGTAGTCAATTCTGGAGGTGATGAATACATAGATCAGGGTTTCATTGGTAGAGAAGGTTAGTGATGGACAGAAATGGGCTAATGATGAGTCAGAAGTTGAGGGAGGATTTTTTGAGAGATATGGGACCAATGATGATTATATCAGATTTTGCAAAGCTAAGTTGGAGAAAATTGGTTTGCATCCAGGATTTTAATTCAGTGAGGCAGTTGGGGTGAATTGTGGCAGTGATGGAATTGGTGTAGATGCAGAGCTGGATGTAGTCAGCATAGCAGTGGAAGCGGAGACCATGACGACTAACGATAATGCTGAGAGGTAGGATGTATAATTTGAACAGGAGAGGAACGAACACTTACTCGTACTTTGGAAGAGAGGAGTGGAGGAGATGCAGTTTGTAAAAATGTGCATCTCAATAAATTGGGGTTTTCATTAGCTCTAAGCCATAATCATCAAAATTAAAAGAAATAAATGCTTGAAATATTTCACTCTGTGTGTAATGAATCTATATAATATATGAGTTTCACTTTTTGAATTGAWTTATTGAAATTAACAAACTTTTCCACGATATTCTAATTTATTGAGATGCACCTGTATTTAGATGAACTGTTGTCTGAAATCTGCAGTGAGCGTATTGTGTCACTTCTGGTGTTTGTTTATTGATCTCTTCTCTTCTTCATCTCTACCAATTCATGTACTATCTGACTCACTGAAGCTAATTTGGAGTTACATTCACAGTTGTGCTGTTCTTCACACATATCTCTCCTCTAAGCGACTCGTTCGCTAATTCACTGTTATTTACACACTACTCGTGTCTTGTGTGTTAGCTTAGCAACTTAGCTTTAGCAGCTAACGATGGCTTCTCCCTCTTATTCCCCTGCTCTCTCCTGCTCAGTGTGCTTGATGTTTAGTTACTCCTCTGGCTACTTTAGCGATAACGGTATGTGTAGCAAATGTAGCTTATTCACAGTCATTTGGAATTGCAGCTCTGCATCAAGGAAAGTACATCTTTAGCTGATGTAGTTAGCCAGTCCCCAGTAGCTGTAGCTTCTCCAGCCCCAGGTTGGCTGGGTGACTGTGCGAAATAAGAAGCATAGTTGTGAACCGAAGCCCCTGGTTCACCAGCAACCTGATCATGTCTCTAATAAATTCCCCCACTCAGCGACAAACCCGCTGAGGAACAAACTCTGGTTATTGGCAACTCTATTCTGAGAAATGTGAAGTTAGTGACCAGCAACCACAGTTAAATGTTTTACTGGGGCCAGAGCGGGCGACAGAGTCATATTTAAAACTGCTGGCTAAGGGTAAGCGTAAGTACAGTAAGATTATTATTTACGTCGGCAGTAATGACCTCCAAATACGTCAGTAGGGGGTCACAAAAATCAATATTGATTCGGTGTGTATATCATCAGATCGATTTACTATGTCTTACAGAATCCTGGCTGCAAAACGGTGAATATGTAGGTTTAAATCAACGGACGCCCCCCACCCATATTAACTCTCATATTCCTTGAAGCACAGGCAGAGGTGGAGGGGTGGCAGCAATCTTTAAATCCGACCTATCTATCAACTATCGACCTAAAGGTAGTTATAACTCGTTAAAAAATCAGCCAGTTCATATATCCTCCGCCTGCCCCTTACTCTGAATTTTGATTTGAATTTCTATTCAAGTTAGTTCTTAGGACAGATCAAATCATTATAGTAAGTAAATTTCAACATTCATGTAGATGTTGCCAACGCCTAAGTTCAGCATTTAACTAATTAATAGACTCGAGAATAGGCTCTAGGGGGCGCTGTTGAGCCATTTCAAATTGTTCCGGAAAACATAGATATTCAACACTTAGAAATTTTGCGTAAAATTGACACTGTAGCAATTTTTTTAAATATATTCTGATGATCAATAATATCAGGATGTTGTGGCAGCCCTATTTCCACCATAATTGCAATGTTTTTGGGTAACATTCCTGATAACTACCACCTCTGTGCCTGTAACGAATTCAAAAGATGCAGTATGATTTTTACTATCCAATAATTGCATCACACACAGAAAACACATTATTTGTGTACCCCAAAGCAATTATTTACTAGCCATGTACCTGTTCCTTTTAGGCCTATTTAATATCAGTGAATTAAAAAGTATTATTAAATTACATAATGACACTAATCTGAAGGATACAGTCATCAGAAAACCACCAAAGAGGAACATGAAGACGAAGTCAGCTGTTCTTCCCCTGAAAGAGCCCTCCTCTAACATACGGCAGTATCTGTAACTGAAAACAAATGGTTAAGAAATTCAACAAACTGGTTTGTAGTTTTAGTTTGAAATATTGTGAATCTTACGGCTTCTGTCGAGACAAGATTTAAGTTTCAACATCTTATGTTTGAAAAAACAAGTGGTAAAAGAAAATATGCAAATAAACTTCACATACTAAATGTAGTGAGACTTGAAAAGGATACAGAAAGATCATATTGAACAGGAAATTGAAGCCAACTGGACCAAAAAACAGGAAGTTGGTTATTATTCGCCATACCTAGAAAATGAGAGAGAGAAGAGTCAGCTGTATGTAACTGAAACACAAAACCACAGGCTTGTGTTTCCCTGATTCAAAAATGTTGAAAATGCATTTTAATAAGAACTAAAAGCTTTATTTAACTGTAACAATTTCTTAATTTGGCCATTATACTGAAATGAGGTCATATGAATGACATGTTCAGACACAGGACAGTTTGCATCAAAAACATGACTTGTTGTATGAATGTCAAAACAATCTAGTGATTGATTATATAATGAATGTCTGAGCTAAAGTTACTCATGTTTTAGGTGTTCTGCATCATTGATCCTCTGGGCAGTGATGTGCAGTAGTGAGAATACTCACACCTGGTTTACTGGCATTTGTGTAGTGTGTTATATTTGAACTCTAAATTTAGTATTAATAATAACTGCTGTTGCCAACTGCACTATTCCATTATTTTAGCTTACACGGGTCAAGGAGAAGTTGTCAGCAATTTTTCACACCAATTTATGAATGAATCCTCAACCTCATCTTAGTGATAACTAATTTGAAAGCCTTATTCTTAAATTCTGCATAGAACAGACAGTCATAGTTTGCAATTTCAACATTCATGTAGATGTTGCCATCGAAAGCCTAAGTTCTTCCTCACTAAATCAAAAAATATTACAATGACTTCAGTAATTATTACATTTGTTAAGTAGGTAAATTAAGAATGAATATGCCAAAAATGGGTAGCAAAATATTGTATGCATTAAAAATTTTAAGTATTACTATAAATAAAGTATAAGTAAGGGTGAAACGTGTTCTTAAATTGTACAATGTAAACAACCAAGTGTTTACTGCCTTGATTGAAATTTGAAAGGACCACATATTGGGATTCAATTTGAGGTATTGGTACCATGGTGTCATGATGACAATAGAGAATGTGCTGCAGGGAGACACACAAGGATTATCAAATAATCTTTAATGTAGATTATCAAATACTCTTTAAAGTAGATTATCAAATAATCTTCAGTGTAGCCAAAGTCTTTAAGTTGTGGTACCAAAGAGTCTTGTTTTTTCTGTTCATCAAGTTTTTACACACACTTATTGGCCTGACTATGGGCCTTTGAGGCTCAGACTATACAGGTAAGCTGGTAATGATTTCATAGATAGTAACACAACTTAATTTGTATAGAAATTGAAAAGCATATTTACAATGAATATATCAACTGGTTATTAGATACGTTGACTTCAATTTAGGAAATGAAACATTTGAGGCACTTGTTCAGTGGAAAATTACTTTATTACAGAAAATGAACCGTAACAGAGCAACTTGCAACAATCAAGCGTTGTGGTGTTTGGAAAAGACTGTGATCTAAATGTAGAAAATTTAATAAGAAAAAAAATACTGAATAAAAGTATTTCCCAACTGCCTAACTGAGAAGTTGACATATCTCAAGGCATAGCTCAAGGGTCCAGCTGCCAGAGCCATCAAATAACAGAGAGCAATCATGATGATGCCATAGTCATGCTAAAGGAGAGATTTGGTGGTTTTCCCAACCCTGGGCAGACCAGGAAGCCATGCACAGCTCCACTGCCTGAGCCAGAGGGCACAGAGCCTGGCCACGGCGCCACAAAGCCCAGCCATGGCACCACAAAGCCTGGCCACGGCGTCACAAAGCCAGGACACGGCACTACAAAGCCCAGAGCAGGATTAGTTTCATGCTTACAGCAACCTATGCCATCTTTCCCTCACCCAAAAACTTGTGGCTGAAGAAGATCCTGAAGAAGATCCAGATTCTAAAATGGAACAGCTTTTGACTCTACTGCTTGTGAAAATAGTTGTTCAATTAAAAAGGTACAGTGGTAATAATGTCTGATCTACTGAGCGGGCCACTTAGTTTTAATACTACTGCCACACAAGTCAGATTTACCTTCAGCCTCAGTGTACCCTCAAGTTCGGCTTGTATCATTGAGTTTTGTCAAACCACACAATACAATGAGCAAATAAAAGAACACTGTAGCTCCAGAGAAACTCCACAGAGAAATACATAATCCACTGGCAGTTTATCTTCTGACTCTGATCATACACTGCTCAAAAAACTTAAGGGAACACTTAAATTACACATCAGATCTTGAACAAATTATTCAAGTTGAAAACTTTACTGATGTACATTGTATAATTTGTTAAGAACAAAATGACGACAACGGTCAATGGAGACCAAAATCATCAATCCATTGAGGGCTGGATTCAAAACCACACCAAAAATCTAACTAAAAAATTTTAATCACAGATTGTTCCAACTTGCGTGAATTTCCTTACGACATGTCATAATGTGACTCACTAGTGTGTATGGCCCCCACGTGCCTCCCGACAATGTCTGGGCATTCTTCTGATGAGTCGGCAGATGGTGCCCTGGTGGATCTCCTCCCAGACCTGGATCAGAGCCTTTGTGTATCAGAATCGTTGTGTATGCATCTTTCAGACCACATTTTGTGTGTACACCACTTATGGGTAAACAGCATCTACAGACTCTTTCCCAACTGTCACATTTGCTCAGTGTGAAACTACTCTCATCTGAAGACAACAGAGCACTGCTGCCATTTCTGGTGTTCTCTGATGAATGCCAGTTGTGCTGCACGGTGCTGTGAGCACAGATCCCACAGCGACTGCAACGTATGGATGTAAACTCAAAGCACTTTACAGTACAGCTTTGTCATTCATACAGTGCATCTATGGGCAGTACTTTTTCTATAAGGGGCCATTCAGGGTTCAGTATCTTGCCCAAGGACTCTTTAGCATGCTTCAGGAACCCTCTGGTTGGAGGGTGACCGCTCTACCCTTCAGCCAAAACCCTTTTACATTTTTCAAATAACTTTGAGTACCTGGACTCTTCATGCCATTTTTTGGACATAAGTTTTCCTCTAATGATTTGACATGTATTCCCTTCCATGAGCCCCAGTGGTTTGAAGGACTTCAGAAGCACTCCTGCCACCGCTCTTTCATAATCTAAGAATTGCCAAGAAAAGACTTGAAGGTCTGAAAAGAATACTGAAAACTGACATGAAGGTGTTTACAATGATGTGATAGAGGACTATCCTAAACACGGAATATGTGAAAGTATCCCAGAATTGAAAGTTAACCGCAGCAGGAACTGGGAACAGCAATGTCAAGTAGTAGTTACCATATCATACTGTAATTAGGGAAGACAAACCAACAACCAAATTGAGTTTTTTTTCTCTATGCTTCTTAACACAAGGATGGCTGTGCATCTCTCAAAGACTCTGCTCACTGGACAAAATGTGAAAAAAATATCTTAGTGATATTCAGACTGCATCCAATTCCATTCATGGTAAACATCACAAACTTTCCCACAAATATCCATTGGTGACAGGGACAGAGATGCCCTTTAATTCCTATGATTCATGGGGAAGTGCGTAAATCTTAAAATTGAGAAAAAACTTTAAACTTTTTTTTTCTTATTTACAGGATGAGTCTGGAAAGGGGCAGAGAGGTTGCTATCTTTGGCTTAATGGTATATCTTAGAGAAAAGGAAGAAACTATTTTCAGTTGGTAGGCAAGTTAGACACCAAAAAGACATGCATAAGTCAAGTCAAGGGAGATTTCTATGGGAGATTACTCACTTGGTAGTTCCTTAGAATCAAATCTGGATTGAAGTAGAGCTGAAATGGTGTGATGAGCTCTAGTTGCTGAGAGAAAAGACAAAAAGGACAGTATTAATAATGCAGATAATATATATACATAATGACCTATCTTTGATAAACTTTATTATACACCTGCTGTATCTGACAATGAAAAGAAAAAAACTAAAAAAAAAGCAGTGACCCTCCCCATTAGGGGTGGTCTGTGTGGCTTAAAATGAATATAATATTTTTCACTTTTTGGGAGGTGGCGGTATTATATCACTGTATTAGTGTATTTTCAACTCTTGGGAAGAGAAACCTGAACTGATATTTTTCCCATCTCATACTAGTCTTATCATTTATAGAGTGGAAGCGATAAATTATGGCTGGAGTTATAACAATGTAGTTTTCGGGATGTTCACCATTGGCAATGGTTGTCGGCATGCTGGTTTTGGTTTAAGTGAAGGAATAGGTTGCTTGTGTTTCCACTTTTAGCTATCATGACACTGCAACAAAAGGTATAATATAGTGAGGATACTGGACCCAAACTCATCAAGACTTAAGACTTTTTTGGGGATTTTTTTTATGTCCTGTAAATGACACATCACAGTCTGTGAAAGCATGAATGACAGTTAACCACCCAGACAATATCAGGACAATCTGATGTAGAATTTCAAAGTAAAAGCTTGTTGTGGCAACAGAGAAGGAGATTCTTGGCACTTGACAAAGATGATGTAATTGAAAAGATGCAGAGGGTGGTGAGTTACTATGCCACATACTTGTTTAATAGTCTAGTAACCGTTCCATCAATAAATAGGGTTAGCCTACAAAATTAAATGGTGCTTTGTGTGAAAAGGGTGGCCTGGAGAGGAGTCAAATTTCCAGCCTGATTTATTCTTGCAGTCTGCCCCTTGCACTCATCTGACAGAAGAGAAAAAAGAAATGCATAAACTTCACATTTGTCAACAATGTAATGGCTCCCAATTTGCCTTGTTGCACATGTCTCATGTTGACAACACACTACACAGTTCAGACAAATTACCTGTTGATTACAGAGAGATGAATAGCAGAAATTAAATAAAAACAACTAATGATCAATATCAAATCCAAACAGTTTTCTGGTGAGGGTTTGGGCGTATTCCATTTTCATATGATTGAACCCTGCTCATCAACAGGAACATTGACTACGACTTTTGGCTTTAACAAGGAGTGGTTGGAGGATACATTGAAGCTTAAAACATTCATAAAAAGCTTGTTCACTTACTTTTCCTCACAAAAACAGATGAGCTTCCATCTCACTGACTTGAGGGATGTTTTCATTTGACTAGTGACACTTGTTTGGTGTGTGCATTTTAATGATCACTAGGTGAAAACAAAAGCACTTGAGCCTAGTGTGTATTCTTCATTATACCCGGGATCTTCTATAAAACATTCATTCACACTTCATTTGTGAAGCCTGCTGTTAAGTACGCAGCGTCTTTCTGTGTTCCGACTATCACAACATAACACGGAAGTTTCCTTAAACAACAGCAGGTGGTAGGTGAAACAAGTTTGTAAAAGCGCACGGAGGAGTTAGAGCAGCGACACGAGGTTGCTTTTAGTCATATTGTTGTCTAAAGGTGACACTGATAATGACAGCATTTTTTTTCCTCGTCATATTAACGTTTTTTCGGCTTTATCTTCAATATATCATCGCACTTCAGACACAGGCACATTGTGAACATGACGAATCCGCAACCGACAAATCTGGAACATAGAGGTTGCAATATAACCTATTACTAGTTAATATATTCACCAGTTAAGCTGGAACGCCGGTTCAGACACGTATCCTACTGATGGCTGCTAAAGCTACACAATCAGGCTAGCAGCTAAGTAACGATGTTACGTAAGCTATCTTAAGCGAAATCAACATATACCTTTGTCAACACGAGGGAAATATGAATTAACCTTACCACTGCGGCAGTTGTGAGGACACATGCGGTTGTGTATGCCCTGGTGACAACAGGAATCTGCAAATACTCCTGCTGTAGTGTCTGGTAGGCCATTTTGAATTTGTGAAAAGCTTCCGGCACTTTGTTGATACGTCATCTCTTCTTCTTCTTCTTCTTCTTCTTCTTCTTCTTCTTCTTCTTCTTTGTTCGTTTTTTTGGCGGGTGGCAACCAAGAGCAAGGTGCATTACCGAAACCTATTGTTTTGGAGTGTTAGTGTTAGTTAGAGTTATCCAGGTCCTATTCCTATTGCAATTGCAACCATCTCTACTGTGTAAACTGATAAATTATCTGAGGTTTTTCACTGAAACTTTCAAGTCTGGAGTACTGAAACCAAAACCTGTTCTTCCTGTAATAGGATCATTATATACTGGTATAAATGTTTCATATGCTGTTTGCAATCTATCAGAACTGCAATATTTGCACAATCTTTATGTACTTTTTCCGGAGTATAGAAATCAGTAGACAGTGAGGGAACAACCAGGGTGGTGTTAATGACAGTGTTACAGTAGGGATATAGCTTTTCTGACTTTGGGACATGTCTCTGGCTACTTTTATAGTGCTCAATGTAAAACAATCCCTCTTGGCCCTTTCACTCTCCCAGCATGGAAGACACACTTTAGGCACAATTCATCTGGTTAGGGACCATTTGCAAATCCGAATCACCAATTTAGCAAAACTCTAAACACATTCTCATTCACTAAACACATTTAGCAATGTGGTGCAATTTGACCCAGAATGTCAAACACAGGCCCCAAAGGTTAAATTGAACTAACACACTTAAATTTAGCACACACATCCAATCAGAGATATGTGGAACCCATTGGGTAAACAGGATATAAGCAGGAGGTAGAGCCTTCAGCTACCAGGCTCCTCTCCTGTGGAACCAGCTCCCACTCTGGGTTCAGGAGGCAGACACCATCTCTATATTTAAGGTTAAACTTAAAACATTCCTTTTTGATAAAGCCTTGCTGGTTCAGGACTCACCTGATCCAGCCAGGCTTTTTCAGCTACCAGGCAGACAACTTCTGTGCATTTACGGTTAAACTTAAAACATTCCTTTTTGATAAAGCCTATAGTTAGTTCTGGATCGGGTGAGTCCTGAACCAGCCCTTAGTTAGTGATGGAAAATACAGGAGAAATGTGATCTCTTTTCCTGGTTCTTGTCAGGACACGTGCTGCAGCATTTTGGACAAGCTGCTTTAACAACTTACTGCTGGAGCCTGATAATAGGGAATTACAATAATCAAGCCTGGATGTGACAAATGTGTGGACCAGTGTTTCTGCATCTTTTTGAGACAGGACATGTCTGATTTTTGAGATATTACGTAAGTGAAAGAAAGCGGTCCTAGAAATTTGTTTTAAGTGAGAATCAAAGGACAAATCGGGATTTTCCCAAATTCCTGACTGCTTTATTGGAAGCAAGGGCAATGTCATCTAGCGCAGCTATATCATTAGATAATGTATCTCTAAGGTGTTTAGGGCTGAATATTAGAATCTCTGTTTTATCTGAGTTTAATAGGAGAAAATTGCGAGTCATCCGGATTTTTATGTCCTTGAAACATGCATGAAGTTTAGTTAATTGATACACTGCTCTGGTTTTATTTATGAGTAGGCTATAACTGGGTGTCATCCGCATAACAGTGGAAATTAACCATGTGTGTCCTGATAATGTTTCCCAGTGGAAGCATATATAATAAGAATAAAATTGGTTGGTTAACTTTGGTGCGCACAGATGGCTCATCATTAATTTGCACAAATTGAAATCAATCTGAAAAATAGGATTTAAACCAGTTTAGGGTGGTTCCTTTAACTCCAATTAGCTGTTCTAACCTCTGTAATAGAATTTGATGATCAATAGTGTCAAATGCTCCACCAAGGTCTAACAGGACAAGGACAGACACAAAGCCTTGATCTGAAGCTATTAGAAGGTCATTAGTGACTTTTGCCAAGGCTGTCTGTGTGCTGTGATTAGCTCTAAACCCTGACTGAAAGTCTACATATACACTACTTTCCTGGAGAAACTCACACAGCTGATTGGCTACAACCTTCTCGAGGATTTTAGACAGTAAAGGGAGGTTGGATATCGGTCTGTAGTTGGCTAAAATCTCCGGGTCCAGGGTGGTTTTTTTGAGAAGGGGTTTGATTACGGCTGTGGTACATATCATGATGATAATGATAGATTGATTATATTCAGTAAAGTAATATTAATTAGGGGTAGAATTTCAGGTATTATTGAAGCCATCACTCTCCGCCAGAGAGTGAATGAAACTAACCGGTATAAATACACAGATGTACTAATGAGGGAATGGGGAGCAGTTGAGTGTGTGTGTTAGGAGACTCAGGTGAAGGTAATGGGGTGATTAGCAGCTTGTGAGGGTGACTGGATCCGAAATGACAGAGAGAGATGATTAGAAACAAGGTATTGGTAGATAGTTGTGACAATTGATTTGTGAACAACATCATGTTTGCCTTTCGTAGAGTTCTAGCATTCCCAATGTTTATCTGGAATTGTACTTCTGTGTTGTTATAGCGGCTCACCTATGTAGAATAAGCCACTATGACTACACAGAAGTACATCTACAGATCTAACACGCATCTTAGTGATATGATTGGAAGGCGGGGTGCATTGCAGGCGGACACAGACCTGAAAGCCATGATGCTATGATGCCTATCGCCATTCGTGTGGCTAAAACCAAAGTCGTTATGAGCAATCCAAAGCTATGTCCATAAAGTCCATTCATCCCCATGCACTATATAGAGAAGGGTCAATCAGTTTAAAAAAATGAAAAATAGAAATTAATCATCTCTTATGATACACACCTGTTTTGCCCACCCACTCTCCACCACAATGACCAAAACAAAATATATCCAACCTGCAAGAGAATGGGTTGCTGGTTCACAGTGTGACATGCAAATTAGACATATCTACATAACATGTGACATCATTACGCAATCTTGCAACCTTTTACTACATTTCAGAGAGCCACTAGCTACTTCTGGTGAAATTCTTTTGGTAACACTTGTGCTACAAACAGACAAACTTGTGAAAGTCAAAAGACAAGGTGCAAAATTGCAGTATTTGACATGACTAAATATGACTACATGTGATAAAATTGGTATGAATATAATATGAGCAAAATAAATAAATAATTGACAGTTATTGCAGCAGTAATTACTATTAATTATCAGAGGTGGGAAATGTACATTCTTATTGCTGTGGGCAGGAAAGACTTCCTGTATCTGTCCTTGTGGAAGCAGAGCTGAACCAGTCTGTTGGAGAAGGTGCTCCACTGTCTGTCCATCAGGTGGTGGAGAGGGTGGTCTTGATTGTCCATGATGGATAAGAGCTTATTTAGTATCCTCTCCAACACCACTTCCAAAGTGTCCGTTTGCAGCCAATGAAGGAGCCAGCCGTCTTAATCAGCTTGTTAAGTCTGTCGGTGTCACCGGGTTCGATGCTGCTCCCCCAGCAGATCACAGCAAAGTACAGAACACTGGCTACAACAAACTGATAGAATAGAAACATGTAACAGATGCAAAAATGAAAAAAAAAACAAACAAAGAAGACAACCGTTGTGGAATTAGTACGTAGATCCTGCCTCTGTCTGCTGCACCACCCCTCTTATGAATCTTGCAGAAAATTGTTGCAGTTGTGAACACTTCTGAGCGAAGAGTACACTGCATGTATGAAAGGCAAACTGCGAAAACAATAATTCCATATTCTTTGGAATTTTCCAAGAGACATGTCTGAAAACAGCTTAACTAACTAAAAACCATCAGTGTGACCTTCCATGTATTTATGATAACTAGTAAAACTAGGGCTGCGAAGCAGCACTGAGCCGGCCCGAGCACATGAGAACTCAGAACCTGATCTGCAGGGGAGGGCGGTTGGGGACAGGGCGAAACGGCTCTGAGTTGCATGCATTTTGTGCACCGCGGGAGGGATAAGGGCACACTTCCAGTGTGCGTCACGCAACGCAAAATCACTCCCAACTATCATGCATTATAGTCCAAGCAATCAAGTGCAGAGTGAAAATTGAACGTAAATTGAAAGTTGTAAAACAAGGCTTACTTCCTGTAGCCAGTAGGTGGCGCTATCATAATCAATATATGCAGACTATTTCATCTGTTCAAGCCTGGACTCTGATCATGTGACAGAATTTTGGTGCCGATTGGACAATGCACAGAGATTTAAAAAACAGTCCTATTCACAGTCAATCAGTTGGTGGCATTATGACCCTGACTTAATATTGACATATGGAGCTGTTCAAGCCGGGAAGTTAATCAGATTTTAATTTTGGTGCCGATTGGACATTGCAGAGTGGAGTTATGACAACTTTGTCTCCTTTGGCGAAGGATTAACTTTCCCTGCACCTCAATGTTCACATGATTTGAGGAAATGTCACAATTCTGACCATGTTCTTGTCACTTGTCAGAGCTCATTTGAGCTGTATATTGTAAAGCAGTGAGCAGCAGTGCATTAAAGTATAAAACTGAACAGATCCATATTGACACATGGATCTGTTCAGGCTGCATTTCTGATCATCATGTAGGCATATGGAAACTGTGAGTTTTCGTCGAACCATGTTAGAGGTGTGGCGTCAAATGTCAACAAGTTGCCATGACACACAAAAATGCATTAACTTCAGTGTACATTGTTCAATCTCCCTCAAATTACATCTGTGTAACAACAGCCCCCCCGAAGACATTCATATGGTTTTAAGAAATGGGCATGGCAAAAAGCTGAATCGTGCCCCCTAAAATGCAGCACAAGATTGATTGGATCGATATGCTAGACCAAAAAGGAAGTCTGTCATTTTTAATGAAGTGGCTATTGTGACCATTTACACGTGGTGTATTTGAACTAACTCCTCCTAGAGCTATCATCAGACCAACTTTAAATTTGGTGAGTGTCATCTCAACAACATGGAAACTACCTTGATTTTTTAGTGTGCGTCACACGGTCTGACCGTGGCATGGCGTCAAAGTTTGATGATTCACCACAAAAGAGGGATTTATTATAACTCCTCTGTGCATTGTCCAATCAGTCACAAAACTCAAATGATCACAATCTCACCCTGAAAAGATCCATATGTGAAAATATTGACTCGTCAC